CGGTCCAATCCGGACCTCCTGTAGTCCGACTAATTATCGTGTCGAAAGTGATGAAAAAATCGAGCTTGGTTAATCCAAAAAACCAGCACATGTGTCTCACATCATGTGAGTCACATGATGTGAGACAAGTGCAGTCCTCTGTGGTCTTGTTTCCGTGCAGTCTCCTGGCGCGCGCCGTCATTGACTGGCGGGCGCCAGACATCAAATACATGGATGGTTCGAAGCACCATCACAATGACCCTAGACATGAAAATATATATAGAAAAACAATCCATCAACAGCATGTTTCATCAATGATGAAACATCATTTGTATGAGTAGTAAATGAGGTTCACATTATGAGGAATACCCCTATTAGACTGAAGAAGGTTGGCTTAGGCAACGGTCTAGACCTCTCATCAGATGCATTACCATCAGCGAGGGTAAATTCAGATTTTCAAGGGAAATCGTGAATAGTCAAGGTGACTTCTCGCTCGCCCCGCGCCGTTTATTCTTGAAAATTGTCAAGGCGCGGGCCCAAACAGACAATGTCCCTAGAGTTGGTGTCCTAGGTCACTACCAAGTTAGTAGTACTAACCACGGAATAGCGTCCATACCTAATGTAGATAACGTCTCTACCGCGTAATGCGATCCGCATCGGGCTAGGGGTTTACATTGTTATTCCCTTCGGGTTTCTGCTTGCCTTGTTGTTCCCTACAAGTTTGTGGTTGCCTTGTTATTCCCTTCGGGTTTCTGCTCGCCTTCTTGTTATTCCCCCTCTGCTTGCTTGAGATTCCTGAGAATAAGACCGTCGGGTTTCGGGTTTACCCGTAATGACAGTTTTTTTCGAGAACTCGTATAAGAGCTCGCACTTGAGTAAGACCTCGCACTTGTATATGAGTTTTGCGGGTTTTGGGTTTTGTGTGTGGTAATTCACTTGAGAAGGACAACTTTCGTGAGTTTTGCACGCGTAGACACGATATTCAGGTCCTGTTTCCTTCATCCACATCTATGTTGTGACACAAGTGAAGCGTCGAGAGGCTGGTAGGATGCTACCTTCACATCAAACTAGTGCTGAATGATTCCTTCAGCTTATTCATCCATACTTTTTAGGTACCTGTTATTGGTCCACGCGTATACGCCGCATGCTGTTTCCATACAAGGTTGTCGCTTTACGGCTCCCGCCCTCGTTTTTTTGTTTGGAGCTGAACTTGGCAATCAATGGGCCGTCTGGCCTCCCCGTCTCTTCGGAGCAGGTCAATGTGCTTGATCCGCTGGCAGATTGTTCTCTCTAGACTAGGAATCGTTGCTTCGCCCTCCATTTTATCACAAAAGAAGATTGTTTGACCGGCCAACGAAGTCCCCAGCCCCCTCCGTTAAATGTTGCCCAAAATTTCACTCAGAGCGAGCGAAATTGCGTCCATGACTATTTTCCACTGTCCTTGATTATTTGCAATTACCCGCGACCATGCGAGACGCGACCACATGATTCGTGTGCCTGACACACTGTGTCATGAGAGTATTGAGGATCGGACCGATCCGATCGGTACCCCAATATCCCAAGGCAGTGGAAGACGTCAGAGCCACCAACAGTCTGATAACATGGCCAATGCCGAGTAGAGGAGGGGGTTTCCCCAATCCTCAGTCTCCAGATCTTCAACACTGATAACATCTCTAGCAGGCTGCTAATAGCAGCGTATCTAGCACTAGACGTAGTTTCATCGTGTAGAACGAACAGTTTCAATGTTGGTTCTAGAGACTTGCCGCACTGCAGGAAGTATCATAACTTTACGAAGGACTGGGATGTTCATGACCATCCATTGAAAGCAGCTCACATCCGACTATTACAGAGCAGGCAGTGCCTGCCAGGCACTGCTACTAACCCAATCGTTCCACATTCAGATGTGGTGAGCGGCTACGACCTCGCCTATAACCAACACCCTTGAGAACATCGCCAGTACACTGCGTATTGATCACGGGATCATTCAGGTGCGGAACCACTCTCCAGGAGTCGTTTCGTCCGTGCAGGAGGAGTAGACTCATTAGAAGTAGGAGTAGACTCACCAGGAGGGTTCGTTGAAGAAGCCATCTGGATATCAGGAATTACACTAAAGTTATTGGTACTAGACTAGTACTACTAGCGCGGGCCGTTTGGTACTCGACGAACTGACCACCGTATCGTTATAAGTACTCGTTAGTGGTCGGTGACGGACCAGTATTCGCCGCAGAGCGAGCCGCGTCTCCACGGACAAAGGTACCATTACCGTGGTCAGTACTGCCATAATGGCAGTGCCATTATTCAATAACGTTCCCAATAATGATTATTGGGAACGTTATTGCCAGTCATAGGCTTTGAGCCACGAAAAAAAGCCATTGGCTATGGGATATTTGTTATGGCTCATAGACAAACAAATATCGCTCAAGTGGAAGTTGTCGAGAAGCAGGTCGAGAGCTGTTACCCAATCATATAAAGACAGTAGCCTCCTCACAGCAGAACTAGGAGTAAATAATCGTCTGAATAGCGTAGGGCCCCAATAAATAGGGGGATTGAAACCATACGAGTCCCGCTCTCGGCGAGACTCGGTTTCTTCCCGCTTCCCGCGACGGGAGAGAAGTGTGAGAGAAAATTTTTCAGGAACGCGGGACGGGATTAAAGCGAGAATCTCGTTTTCCCGCTATCTTCCGGCTCTTCTCTCACAGCGGAGCTGTCCAGCCGCCTACATCAACTTCGAAGGATGCCTCTCAGTCGCATCAATAAATTTTGCATAGTGCTCTTTTTAAGAGCTCTAGTCTACGTAGAGCCTCTAGAAGGGGAGGGAGAATATTCCCTCTCCACTTATATGACTCGAATCGTGTGATTTCTTGCTGACACTTCCTTCTATTCAGGGTTGACACTGTCAGATGCTTAGCTTCGCGTGAAGTGGACAAGCAATCGATCATCATAGCGAACGCTGTTTGCAAGATGCACGCATGGAATACATTCAGCGAACCAGATCCACTACATGAGCAGACTTGGTGGCGGCGAGTCACCGACGATTGTGTTATTCACTCTAGACATTTCGAGACATATGCTGCAGAGCTCAATTCACTTTGCCAGTTAATGCAGTCACAACTCAATTCTATCATGTCCTCATCACTGATGAGTCATCAGCTGTCAGTAATTGTACCTCTCTCAGAGAGAGACAGTCTCTCTCTCCTGCTCCACGCATCCAGAGACTCCAGTTAGATGATGAGGACCTTCCTCCTGGCCCAGGAATACAACCCAGGAGTCCTGGGTTGTATTCTATCGAATTTTCACCCTCTGGCAGACGGAGGCCTACCACTGTTAACGACTTGTGCACCGCTTATTAGAGATAACCCTCGGAAGACCGGTTCTGAATGTACGAGCTCTACCTTCCCGCTGAAGCGAAAGCGTGCCAATGTCCCTCGTTCTCCAGTTCGCCATCCTGAACTCAGAGTAGGGCATCATGCCCCACTCTGAGCTTCGCAAATGAAATGTGGGTATTCGGTAAATGCCATTCGGTAAATGGCACACATGCCCCGGGCATGATTTGGACTTTAACCTATTCGAGACCTTTGAAGTGGACTTGAAAGCTGAGGTGTGGCGTACTTTCCGGAAGATACGTAATCGCATCACTAGGGAGGTATACCTCGCCGAGGATTCCTCGGTGTGTCTACTGTACTCAGTGTCAAAAGGTCATCAAACAAACTGACAAGAGTACAACCAATATGAGACGCCATCACTGTGTTGGAGGCGACAATGACACGCCAAGTATTGTTCCATTCTGTCCGCCTTCCGTTCGACTCCGAGCCGACGAACAGGCCAAGCTGAACAATGCAGTCATAAATCTGATCGGGGCGTGTGCCATCCCATTTTCGATGGTTGAAAGACCGGAGTTTGTGGAACTACTGCAACTCGTATCCAATATGTCATTCCGATCGAAGAAGCCACTGGATATATCAGCGAGCTTGAAGAGCGAGAGGACTCTTCGTCGGTCAGCAAAAGAGCAGAGCCAGTCACGTCGTGCAAAGGTCAAACTTCATCTGAGCGAGCAACAACCACCATATCAGGTAGGCAGTGTGCTCGTCAGTAACTCATGCTACAGATCTTAAGTCATTTCCTGGGAACCAGTTCTGTATTTTAGGTCTCATTCGATGCATGGACGACACCTGCAGGACAAGAAGTGCTTGCTGTGCAGGCGGTGCTGTGGGGTTCTGAGCTCAGGGTACCCGGAGCTCAAAAAGAGGCTTCTTTTCCTGTACTGTTAGCCATGTCTCCTATGGAAGATTCAACCGCCGCCAGCATTGGAGAAGCACTGGGAGAGGTCGGTTCAGCAGCTCCAATTAGTGCGAAATTTACACATCACGATGTGCCACATTGAATCAGATGTGTAGCATCGTGATAGCCATATGGCATAGATCGCATTGTATCCCATTTTACAAAGGGACACCGCCGACGATATCTTTCCTCAGGCGCTCGCTGAGTACGATATTTCTCCTGACAATGCAATATGTATCAGTGATTCGTGCCAGTCGAATATAAGGGCATTGGAGGATGCCGGATATGCCAGTGCCGGTTGCCTCTGCCATATTTTGGCGCTTGTAACGGATTCCATATCATATGGCGATCAACTGCGAGTCTCCTGGAAGCGTATCCTGGAGAGAATTCCGGTTTCACCGTTTCGGGACTCGTCATGGCTGTCTCAAGGCTCGCCGCTTATTTCAAAAGGGCTAAGTTGAATCCGTTGTTGACCGAACGGAGACTGAAAAAGTGAGCCACAGGATTCACCCGTGTAATGTTTGAGACAGTCTGTTTCCCATATGCTAGGTTGAGGCCAACCTAGTTAAGAATTAAGTGGGACGGGATCTATATAATGTTGAAGGCGCTCTCGGACTCATGGGAAAGCGTTGAAGGAATATTAGTGAAGAAAAGAAAAGCGGGGTATGTTATGCACCCGATATCATCGATTCTCGACCTCTATGTGAGCAGATTCTTCGAGGGAGTTTTGAGCCACCACGATGAGATTGGACAAATTCTCCATCTTCTACAACCTTTCCGCACGGCTACGCAGATTTTGGAATCCTTGGATAGTGGAGCGGAAATGAGGGGAATACTGTACTTTTACTAGCGACGTTCTCATATCGATGCTTACTCAACACTTTACCTGTAATCCAGGCAAAGTGTTGAGTGAGCATCAGGCTTATGATGCAGGCTTTGCACTAGAAATACAGTATCAGCAACACAGTATCGAACAAGCACATACTGTGATTCACATTCACGCGTCATGTCTCAGAGTGATTGAAGAATTTTGGAAGACGTTGTCACAGGAATCTCGAGTGGAGAGTAGGATGATCAAGGATGCTCGTCTCCAAACGAAGAAGACTTTTTGTAAAAAGGTAACTGAATAACCCTTCGGGCGCTGCCTACATTTTTCTCCCTTCTCAGTTGACACCGAGATTGACCCCAGAGTCTGGGGCCCAGGCATGCTGGTTCCTGTAGCTATGGTTCCACGAGCACAGTTCCCCGCTCTTCGCGGGCTTGAGATCGTATCTGAGTTCCCCGCGTGCGGTTCGACAGAGCCTGATCTATCGTCCGAAAATGCATCAAGGAGCAACTCGTGGAATGGTGCCTCGTTATTGCGGCTGCCAAAATCCCGGACTCGAGTTCGAGCGCTGACATCGTCGATCTTGAGAAGGAGAGAGAGGTTGTGCAATATCACACAAGTAGACACAAAGCTTTGTCCCCGTCCCAGACCTTCCTAGCTGTATCCGTTTTCCATCTTTATCCTTTCCTGAGGATTATTTACCTCTGGTCGAGTTACGTAATAGTACAGCGTAGCAGCTCCTTGTTATGAATATGGGTGACAACAACATCAACGAGCATCATCTATACTATGCCTTGCCCGAGAGCTACGACCCAATTACTAGTTCACTTGATTTCGAGCAGTGGGTTCGTAAGTACAAGGCCTGTGCAAAGGCAAACAAATGGAACGAAGA